GTTGGCCTCGAGCTATAAGCAGCCACACACTATCATACAATCAACTTGTTACACAATATATGCAGTTAATGATTCTCAAATAAACTCACAGCTTGCTGATGAAATGCACACCGTCTATGATTCACATCTTCAAACGCTACAGTCAGCAACTGTCACGCATTCCACTTCTGCTCAGTCATGCATGTTAACACCACACACAACAGACATTAAGCTCAACTGCTGTTAGACATTCGGAGTCTTTTATATCATAGTTCAAGTTCCACCTGAATAGGATAATGCATTGACAAGGGCACACAATATCCCTTGTCAGTTCACATATTAAACAGAAGGCCTGCATACAAGCAGGTTTAATTAAACCTGTATCTACTAGTACAAGATTCCAGCTAAGATTTAATATGCATAAACAAGTAGAAGATGCCAGCTAAGATTTAAACCTGTATAAACTAGTACAAGATGCCAGCTAAGATTTAAACCTGTATAAACTAGTACAAGATGCCAGATGACATTTAAACCTGTATAAACTAGTACAAGATGCCAGCTAAGATTTAAACCTGTATAAACTAGTACAAGATGTCAGCTAACATTTAAACCTGTATAAACTAGTACAAGATGCCAGCTAAGATTTAAACCTGTATAAACTAGTACAAGATGCCAGCTAACATTTAAACCTGTATAAACTAGTACAAGTACAAGATGCCAGCTAAGGATAAGACCTGAGATTACATGGCACTGCACAGAAATGACCTTTCTTACCCTACAGAGAACTAAAACAAAAACTTTCAAAAGTTTACACGTTGAGAGCATTTGACTTTTTAATACACATGTTTTTGTCATGCGCTGCTTGATTGTAAAAAACAAAACAAAACGTAAGGTTCACTCATTTATGCCAATGTACAGACGCGCTGCTGTTTAAAATAATACAAATTGAACATACAATAATTACAATGTGTTGAATTAATGACTATGAACACTTAATATGTCAGAATTATTTGCAACTATAAATTAAAGTTTATTGTTAGGCAGCCGTGTGCCTCCTCAGACATGCATCCCACCAGGCCTCCCACCCCAGTGGCCCCATACAATAGATGTCTTAATATCTGATGCAAATTGACAGGCAGTGTATTATTGTGATGAAAAATCTACAACCCATAGTAAAGCCTGTTTTAAACTTTCAATAATGCCCCCCCCCCCTCGTTGTTTTACCGAATAAGCAAATATGAGTTAAAAAAAAAATTTCTATACACAAGTGATATGTATTATTGTGATGAAAAATCTACACCCCATAGTAAAGCCCGTTTTAAACTTTCAATAATGCCCCCCCCCCCCTCGTTGTTTTACCGAATAAGCAAATATGAGTTAAAAAAAAAATTTCTATACACAAGTGATCTGATGGTGTGCACTTCCAGTCTAATTAACTTAATTTTTACACACACAATTAAAAGATAATAGCCTGGTATAGTTTTGACATTTAACTTGAGACAGTGGGTGCACATAAGGTTAATTAAAACATGGCAGCTACATGAGCACGGGGCTGGCAATTGTGTACATGAGCATGGGCTTGGCAATTGTGTACATGAGCATGGGGCTGGCAATTGTGTACATGGGTATGGGGCTGGTAATTGTGTACATGGGCATGGGGCTGACAATTGTGTACATGGGCATGGGTTCGGCTCTTGTTTACATGAGCATGGGGATGGTAATTGTGTACATGAGCATGGGACTGGCAATTGTGTACATGAGCATGGGGCTGGCAATTGTGTACATGAGCACGGGGCAGGCAATTGTATACATTTGCACTGGGGCTGGTAAATGAAGAGAACAATCACATAATGTACTTCTCAGGTCACCATGACATACAGGTCTGAGCTATAAAAACTTTATTCCTATCCTCCCAAACAGTGCTCTACAGAAATTCAAGTCCCCTTCTATGCTTGCTCAACACTAGAGAAATAAATATCCCTGCATTAATTCATGTCTAGTAAAACTATGCTGAATAAATTGACCAGTAAGTATATTGAAAAATGCCATTTTGTTAGATAATGCGTTGGCTCTGCACTAGGCAGGTTAACCTCGGGCACAAGTTAGACAAACAGAAAGACTGGAGTCTCAACCAAACCAAAATTTTAATTGGCTCTAATTAATTTCATTACCCTGAAGTCATCCGCTTATGAAGCAGTTCACCTATAACATTTAGTAGCAATAATAATAATAATAATAACAAGACCCACTGCTAGTGTCTCATTGTCCTGAATAAAAAAGCAACTTCTTGTATAAGTAATCAGAATAACGACAACATCCACAACCCTTTGTTAAAATGAACTGCAGCACAATTCCCATAGCAAGGAGATTAAAAAACAATATCATAGGAAATAACTTAAAAATTATTTTTGTACACCATTTGTTTAGTATGACTTGAATCAGTGCAAAGGGGTGAATCTACATTCTACAACACTCAGCTAAAACGTTGAACCCCAAACTTAAAATAGGTGCATCATCCATAGACGCATCCACACATCCACATAATTGTTCTGAATACAGTACATCACACCGGGTGGACCAGCTGATTGGTGCACACCAGACAGGTGCATATGTCAATGACAGGTGTTTGAGGGTACGCTGTTAGATCAGATGGATGCTTCCTAGGACTAGCGGGGTAAGACCAGACGGATTAAAGAAACAAAATTTAATTATAAACATGTACAAAACCAATAAAAATGTTGAATAGTGGATCAGCCATCCTGATTTTAATGTTTTGAAAAATCCGGACAATATCAGTGTCACTCCTAAAAACACGGTGGACATGCGTGCACCCCAAAAACACGGTGGACATGCGTGCACCCCAAAAAGCACTGAGTACATCAGTAGCCATCTTAAAGCTATGTTCACTTGTAAAATTCTAAGTACCCACCCCCAGTAACTACATTTTATACAGATATCTTGCCAGAGAGCCCTCTAAAAATCGAATAGCCGGTCGTCAGGTTCTACAATTTTTACAAGCATTTTGACTGTCATCACTAATACATGACGCAGTGCAATTCACGGTTCAGTAATTTGCCCCCCCCCCCCTACTGACATGGCCATCTACCACTGTGAGCATCGAATACGCCAAATACTATTCAATCTATCAACACGACACCATGCTGATATGTGTTTTATTGAGAGTGCGTGAGTCATTAAAATTGGAGTGCGTGGGCATGCTCAGCTTGATACAACTAACACACACACAGAGAACTTTTTACCATGAATAGACAAGTCATTAGCTGGAAAAAATGTTAGCTTAGACTTCAAGCAAAAGACTAAGTCAGGTAGATACTGCTGGGACTTCAAAACAACTATCTAAAAGAGCCTGCTTATACAAAGTTATATCTATGAAAATAAAGACAGTTAGTGACCCACTGGATGAAAGAAATGACCCACAGTCTTCCCTACTGATTTAAACCATCTCTTCAGTTTAGTGATTGGCATGAAAGAAAGAATCTCAAGTGATGATTTGAACAAAGCTGGACAATATTTGTTACTTAGTTGATGCTACATTGTCCTCTGAAACTCATGTCAGCTCACAAGAAACAAAATGCTAAATGGATGTGATGCATTGTGGGGGACAACATGACATCCCACTGTGGTTTTAAACTAGCGACAGTTGATAAGTACAAGCTACCAGGTTGACTGCTGCAAACTTTGGGTGATAAATAAATGTCTGGATTTACTGGTAAATGACATCAGTTGAGACCCCTCTCTCTGTCATTACACATCTTCAATGCATCCTAAAATATTCCTTAACGTGTTGTCATCAAATTATGTACAGCCCCACCATGTGTTAAATGTGGTCATTAAAGACATTTGAAATCCAGCCATCACTCATCAATCTTTGTCATTAGTGTCACCATGTTGTTTTTAAATGCTGAGTTGGACTATTTAAACTTGGCACAGTGTGTTGCAATGTAGTCTTGGCTGCAGTGTGTTGTAATGCAGTCCTGGCTGCAGTGTGCAGAGACCTGCAATACCTAACGTACCAGCCACAATTTTTATGTCTTGGTTTACAAATATATGATGTCATGTACAGAAACTTTCCCTCGAGATCAGAGTAAATTAAAAGTAAAAAGCACTAAAAATACAGCAGTTAGTTTAAGAATAAACCAAAAATTTCACCTGATTGATAGACCTTACGTAGCCTTTCATGTAACAAAAAGACATATTTTAGAATTAGAAATTCCCAGTTTAGTACAAATGTTTTTTAAGTTCAGAAATTATTAGAGTTTTAATGAGTAAAAAAGCAATGTAAACACTCATATGACATGTTTGAAAATTCTAAGCTTTTAAAATTGTAGATGATTTTAGGTAGACATATTACAAAACCATCCACCTCAAAGATTTCAATCAAAATCCAACATTTGACATAGATATCAAAACTGTTGAATCCAAGAGAGCAGAAAGGAAATATCTCTACTGAATCAGAATAGGAACCTTACTCCCTTATTACCTAAACAAGATTGTCAATTTTTACAGCATTCTTTCATCTCACACAGCCCTAACAAACACCATCTATTAACATACTATTACTCTCAAGTGAACAATGAGATTCTGATGGAAAAAAAAATGCCAAACCATTATTTGATGAACAGCTTGTTTTGTCCACTGATCAAGTAAAACAAATTCTGCATTCATAATATTTGAATTTGAGCCGATCCACAGCACTCAACACTAACTGATGAATTTGGTGATGAACTATCACATATCTGATCAGGTAAGAAGAATGAATCACTCTGTAAATAAATATGGGGCATCGGCTTGGTGAGACATCTGAACTTTTCTTCCTGGTGCTCAAATAGTCATGGTTTTCTTTGCCTGTAGTTTGCAACCCTTTAACCCCCCCCCCCCCCCCCTGAAATGTCTTTAGCGTTCTGCTCCAGAAATCAAAGTGGAAATATATACTTTTTGAATGAAATAAATCAGTGACAACTGTATACTTCTTAAATGTAATCAAATATATTTTCATAATCATTAAGTTAAAGTTATCATTAAATAATTTTTGGAAATATGTAACTAAAAGAATTTTTGCAATATATCAGAGCCCTGCCACATCCACCAGCAAAACACTTGACGTAGATACTCGTCTCTAATATTCTACACATTTATCATACAAACACACCACCTCTTCCAAGTGGCCCTAAGAGAACCATTCAATGAACACACAACAGACCAGTTGGAGCATGTGGTCATATCATACGCTGTCCAAAGTTGGACCCTGATGTGTTCTGCTGCGACTGATTGTTTGAGTAGGTCATCCCCTGCTGCTGACTGTTCCCTCCGCCCTGCATGTTGTGGACGTGCTGGATGGGAAGAGACAAAAAGAAAAGAAACAGTTGTAGGTGGTTGGGCGGCACGAGAGGTGACAGTGCTGAAGCTGAGGCCAGTCGATCTAATGAGATGACCATGACAACGGCTCTTCAACATTATTATCGCCACATTCAGAGAGGTGAAACTTCAGCTGTATGGTTTATCCATTTTGTTCTGTCAGTTGAGTTTTTTTTACCATCCTCCTAAAGGCAGCTTGTTTTTTTTCATTAAAATTAACAATATTAATAAAATATTGATACGGTACAAAAATTATTTTTTTACCAAGTAATATATGAAAAAATAAAATAAAATATAAATTGAGAAATTTTTCTGCAAGTAGTACACAAAACAATTTTGATGTAATTTTCCCCCTTCATACTTTGTAACTGATCTATCAAATTACCCTGTGTAATTTAAAATTAAGTTTGTTTAAATATCTTTTAGTAAAAATCAGTTATTTAAAAAGTTTTAAAAAAAATAATCATGTTACAAAAATAAAAGAATAAATATGATTCAACAGTGTTTAGTAATATAAAGTTTTACACACTTCTTGTAATACATATTTTATACACTTCTTTTATTTCAAGTTTTTAAAAATAGAGAGAACTGGTATTATCAAAGATATGTTGTAACTGTTTCTTATTTACTAAATAATTAACTTATTCAACTACTTAAATGGCTATAGGCTTATCTGAAATGGTTGTAAAGAGAGTGAAATAATTTTCATTGAACAAATTTAAAAGCATTCCTAATGTAAATAATTACATATAATATCCAAGTGTGGGCTGGTGATCAATTAGTTAACGAATGATTAAACCGATTAAACAACTATGGGTTCAATCTACAGGGTGGCTACTCTTTCAAATTATTTGTATAAAATACTAAACTCGTGTCACTGATAAGTTAAATGAGATGTTCATTAAACAGAGCAAAAGCATGGAACAACTTGTTAATCAAAGCAAGGTAAACTTTAAAACATAAACATTAAACAATGAGTTGCAACACCAAACACTGAGAGACACATGAGTATTAACACCAAACACTGCCAGGAACATTAGTGTTAACACCAAATGCAGAAAGGAACATAAGTGTTAACACCAACACTGATAGGAACATTAATGTTAACACCAAATGCAGAGAGGAACATTAGTGTTAACACCAACACTGATAGGAACATTAATGTAACACCAAATGCAGAGAGGAACATTAGTGTTAACACCAAGTTTTGAGAGGAACCTTAGTGTTAACACCAAATGCAGAGAGGAACATGTTCTTAATTCAGAATATTTTCTGATATGATCCTGTTGATTTCCCATCATTCCTAAAAATAACTGCATGCAATAACCCATAACATTTAAAATACCCGTTATTTTTCCCAAGTTGAAAAACTAGATTTTCAAAATACAACCAAGAAATTACTAATACAAGAGTGTATCATATTTAAATTAGTTGCTTCAGTTATCAAAAACTTAAATTTTAATCAAATAAATACCAACATTAGCTACAATTTGACATTCAACTAGAGTGATTAAATGAATAACTGTCCTATTTATTTGGGATATGGCTCAGCTTTATGTCCAAACAGTGCTTCGGTTTTGTGTCCACACAGCGTGTCAATGAGTAAAACAGAACAACGTGTTAATTAGTAAAAAAAAAAATTGTCAAATGAAATAGAAAAATAAAATCTTCTGTGTACCCAGGTCTCGTAGGATGATGAATGGTATAAATTAGGGTCACCGTTGGGGGCGGCTGCGTGATATCCATTAGAAAAGTTATGGCTCAGCTGGTAGCTACCTGGCTGGCCGTTATGGAAGATCTGAAACAGAATGGTCATGTAGAGAGTGAAGGTCTGAGCCAAAGGAACACATGATGGAGTAGGCCATTGCGTGCTGCTCAGATCTCTTGCTAAATTTTAAGAAAATATTTTTATACCAGTACCTATAAATGGTTATTTAAATTATTTATTAAAAAAAAGGAATTTCATACAGGTATAAGTATGCAATCAACAGTGATCTATAAATGAATCATATCTCAATATTTCTGTTAGAGTTTAACAGCTTAAAATAATATTTGATTGGTGGGCCAAAAAGGGAAGAAAAAAATTTGGGATGAATGTTCAGATAGTTATTAAAATTTAATCTAGAATTTTTTTAAAAACTTATGCATTTTTTTCACTAGTTGCCTTCAAGTGTAACTGTTATACTAAAACTAAGACCCACTAGAGTGAATCTTTCTAAAGCGAGGCTTTCTAAAATGAATCCTTCTAAAGTGTAACTTCTTGTTGTAACATCAATGACAAAGTTACTAATGAACAAGTCCACATTTTAATTCTAATGCTTATTTTTAAGGCTGATCTGAATGGTCAACAGTTATTGTGGATGGTGCGTATAAGTTAAGAGTACATTTAGATGGAGTAGTGTCATAGTTAATGACATGTCGCATTCACAAAAAAAGCTTCTAAAAATGCCTGATTCATCTATATGATAAAATAAAAAATTCTAGATATATATTTTTTAAAAGACACCAACAGCCCATATATTAAGTGAAAGTTAGCAACAGGTAAGCAGAAAATTAACTTTTTGGTTTGTATACAAAATATCAATTTAAATAATTGTTTTTAATAATCAAAGGGGAATAATTTCTTGATGTTTGTCTTGGACAACTCTTTCAGCACATGTGACTATTTCAGCTGCATTATGCAGTAAAAATTAATATATTCAATGATTCAATGTTAACTTTATAATTATAACCCTTTTAACCACCAGATACTAATTTTTCTAGTTACAGCTATAATGCTCAATATTATGATCTCAATTTTCCAATGGTGGCAATTCACTTACTGGGTCAGATTGACATGTGTCATTGTAGGAAAGCTAGTCTCTGAAAAAGTGGGGGGAGGCTCAAAACATCTCCACAGGGCCAAGATAAAGATATATAAATCTGTCGCAAAACATCTCCATGGACACAATATAAAGATAAATGAATATATCTATCTAGATCAAGCTTCCAAGTTAGACAGTATGCATATATAAAGTAATGGAGGAAAAAGCCAGAGGAATCCAGGGAACAGGGCGACTACACACAAAGGAGAGGATGAAAATATCATGATGAGAGGTTGAGTTGACGTTCATGCCACCGACAACATCACTACCCCCCCCACCTGATAGTCGCCAGATACCATTGAGTTGTTGCTGCTGGTCGGGGCTATTCGGGGCCGTTTGGCTGGTGGTTGGTTGTGGTCGGAGCCTTGGTTGTTGCCCCCGCCTCCAGCTGCCCCTGCTGTCTGTTGCTGAAATAAAGAAGAGATGCAATAAACGAGGGGTTCTTGACATGTCATCTATAGACCCTTTGCAGGTCCATTGATAAGCAATATGGTACACCTAGAGACAGTGTTTAAAGTGTGCAAAATAAGTAGGCTAATGCTTTTCTTGTAGTTTTTAAACAAAAATGTTTGCATCTTTAATTCAGGCTGTTAAATTTTGTTTAATGTGGTGCTAGAGAAAAATATCGAACCTTATTGGTATCTGATTTGTCTTCATTGTCATCGTCTGATATAAATTCTCTTTTAGGATATGGTATGGGCATCCCTTCAAAGACACTGAAATGGAATCATCATGTCATTAAAGAGTAGATGTCTAGATACCTTCGAACTTCAGCAATCTAAATCTGCTCACTATCTGATTGTTAAAGAACAATTAACAAGACAATCCTGTGAAATAATTTGATAAGTTTTCCTTTCAGTGGGCATCAACTCAAAGGTGAGTGAACCTACATTGCCTTAATTATTCTGTAACTTGAATGAACTGACTTGATCTTCAATAAGCTGTAACTTGAATGAATGAAATAGTGAAACGAGGTATGTGGAAGCTTGAAATAAGGTAACAGGACAAAAAACAAGGACGTTTCGGCATAAAGCCTTCATCAGCCAACAATAGAAATGAAAATTTAACAAAGAAAAGAACACAGTACAAAACTCAAGCAGTATTCATTCGTCTCTCCGGAAGTGAGAAAACAGGAAGCGAGAGAATATAAATATTGACACTGTGAAAAATAAAGTCCACAATAATAATGGACCAGAATATCCAGGGATACATCAACAAACAGCAATAAGAAAATAGATGAAATATAGGGAAACGGAGAAACATCAGTAGGATATTATTTGATTAATACCATATGGAGATATGGTGCCAAACAGCTGAATAAATTTATTTTCCATTTTAACCCTATCTGGTGTGTTACTGCATGAAATCAATGCCGTAATGGTTACATCCAAAGCACCTTTATGTTCTTTTTGGTTGAAATGAGAAGAGACCGGGGAAGGTTTACATTGCTCAATATCCCTTAGATGTTCAGTAAACCTATCAGCCAATCTTCTCCCAGTTTCCCCTATGTAACTTGATTGGCATCTACGGCAAACAATCGCATATATTACATTTCTGCTGACACAGGTGAAACCCTCCTTAATGGTAAAAGTACCTTTAGGGAGGCCAATGCTATCAGTTTGGAGTGTAAAGGGACAAGTTCTGCAGCGGCCTCTTAAGCATGGTTTAGTACCAACGTAAGACGGTTCAGATCGAAGGCGACTATGAACCAGAAGATCACCTAGATTTCTGTCCCGTCTAAAGACAATCAGTGGAGGGGATGAGAAAACCCTGTTGGTATCAGGGTCAGCAAGAAGTATGCTACGATTTTTTAGGAATATTTTTTTGGCAGTTAAATTGTGAGGGTGGTAGGTTAGTATAAGTTTGGTACGATCCTCATTGTTGTTAGGGCGAGTTTTAAAAGCCTCTTTTCGTGTGATCGTGCTGATGCGATCTAGTGCTGAGACCAGAGTAGTTTCAGGATAGGATCTGGAGCGGAAGAAATCCATCATTTCATCGGCTCTTTCTAGAAATTCCTCATCAATTTGGCAGAGACGCCGTAGTCTAAGAAGTTGTGAGAAAGGTATGGAGTCTTTGCATGATTTAGGGTGGGAGGATGAGTACAATAGGTAACTATGGCTGTCAGTAGGTTTGTAGTAGGCAGATGTAATCAATACGTTTTCTTTCAAAGTTACGGTGATATCAAGGAAGTTGACAGAATGTCCAGAGATTTGAGAAGTAAATTTTATTGATGGGTGAAATGAGTTTAAAAAATCTATAAATTTCTGGAGATCATTAGTTTCCATGCTTGTGATGCCTATGCCGTCATCTATGTATCTCCTATAAAATTCAGGAATATGGCCAGTATATGCCCTCTCTGCCATATATTCAAAATGACCCATGAATAGGCAAGCATAGCTGGGGCCCATTTTGGTGCCCATGGCTACACCACTAATTTGGTCAAAGAAATGGCCATTAAATCCAAAGGAGTTAAGTTCAAGTACCAGTACTTGATCTTCAATAAGCTGTAACTTTAATGAACTATTTGACTTGATCTTCAATAAGCTGTAACTTTAATGAACTATTTGACTGGATCTTCAATAAGCTGTAACTTTAATGAACTATTTGACTTGATCTTCAATAAGCTGTAACTTTAATGAACTATTTGACTTGATCTTATATAACAGCAAAGATAAAATTCACGCACTTTTAGTAAAATTTTCAAAATGTTATCATTCAGGAAATAATAATTTTAAAAAATTCTAACCATTATATGTAAAAATATTAGCTAAAATATTATCTTGTACTTTGTATGTTGAAGTATATCTAAAAGTCTCTATATTTTGCTTATCATGTCTTTGAACTTTCACTAATAGTGGTTTTTACCCTGATGCACATCCTCAACAATGCTTTTTCTTTGTAGTTGTAGCGCCAGATTATTAAATATATTGTCTATTGTAAAAAAGAACAACCCAAGACTTACTCTGCACATGGTGTTGGGTCTTCTGAGAAGTACGGGTCCTTCATTGCCTGCTCTGATGAGATTCTCTTGGTGGGATCCATGGTTAACAATTTTTGGAGCTGTTGGTTAAATAAGACAAAGTGCTGTAATATAATGGCGGTTGATGGACATTAGGTTTATAGATAAACAGCCACATGGTAAATAAACACCTAAACAAACACTGTAAATAAAAACTAATAAACATACTGTAAATAAATACTAAATAAACATACTGTAAATAAATGCTAAATAAACATACTGTAAATAAATGCTAAATAAACATACTGTAAATAAATGCTAAATAAACATACTGTAAATAAATACCTAATCGGACACATTGTAAATAAACACCTAAACAGACACACTATAAACAAACACTAACTATAGACTCTAGCATTGCTGAAGGTATCTTCAAAATAGATAGCAAAAGATATTTGCTCATATTTAACTTATTTCTAATACCGAGGCATAAAAGAGCCAAGTTAAGATGTGATTTAAGTACCAAGACGATTATTAGGACGGGAACAACATGTACAGTCAAGCTAGTTATTTTGTGTTTAGAGTTATTTGGGAGCGTTACTCCTTTCTTAATTGTTATCAGACAAGAGAGTCAGTAATGATGGTTCTTAAGAATTTGATAAAAATCAGATTTTAAGCAATGATACTCAACATAAAAACACTAAATACAGAATTCATTACTTACTAAATGAAATGCTTTACTGTCTGCCTTGACTTTGTGTTTTTCCATGTATTTCATGAGATTGCAGTTTACATAGCTGGCCATGAGTGGAAAAAAAAAAGGTACAAAACTGTATAAATTCTTAGTTTCAGGTTATAAGTAAATCTTTTATGCAGGACTTAATATGACAGAATCAAACAATGAAGAAAGTGTCCCAAGAACCATTCCAACTCCCAAGCAAAAATATAGTAAAATAAACACTCTATAGATCTTGTCTACCTGTATGATATTAGTACAGGAGGTTTTTTTTCAGGGACTATTTGCACTAAATTGATTATAATTGGATGTATTTTCCAACAATTCAAAGAAATTGAAAAAAAATATTTTAGCATTTTTATAACAATATTTTAGCATTTTTAAAACAGAAAATGTTGCTTTGAATGTATGCTAACTTACTTTAATATTCTACTTTATAACCCTCCAAAAACACACTTGAATTATTGAAATCCACAAAGTTTACAATTTTCTGATTCTTATATCTGTGACCATAAGATAAAATGCCCCCTACTTATACCAATAATATAGCACATTTATTTTTAAATCAGTTGACAACAAAGAGAATTACATTTTTATTTTCCAACTCACTTCCAATTGAGAGAAGAAAAAATTCATTTTATTCCGCCATACCCATATTTTTAAAATGATAATTCACTTCAATTACTTATATTTTGTATCTAAATTTTTGTAATAAAAATTATAATAGCCACGGTGAACCACTTTCATAATGTCATTTATCAGAACATCTGCTGAGGATCATATGCAGTAGCACGATGGTGTCAACCATCAGTAAGCTTTTTATAAAAAAAAAACAGTCTCCAAATTTTAGGAAGTAATTGAGAATAAGAGAACTGGAGCCTAGGAGGTGGACAAAGAAAACTCCCTACTTGGAACGTTTGAAGTCTCTCATCAGCTGTTGGTGCTCAGGCATTTTCCTGATATCTTCCCAGTCTTTATCTGTTGAGATTAGCAGGAAATCATTCACGACTGACTTTACTTAAGCTTAAAATAGGATGAGATTTTAAGTATTTTAAAGTTACTTTGAAGACACCTTGCCTAAATTAACATTTTTAATTTCAAATTATTGTATTTTGTTAAGGATGAAATATTGGTCACAGAGATTTTCAAGTTTTACAGGCAGCTTCTGTAAATAAATGTGTTCTATAAGGAGTTGTAAGCCCATCAGAAACAAGCAATCTAGTGGTCAAGGTGGGATAATCTATTAAAGATTAAAAAAATATTACCTGTAAATTGTTACATCACTTGGGCACTTCATATAAACTACACTTTTATACTAGTATAACCCAGTGTCACATCTATTAGACATTTAACACAAAGAAATATGAAATAATAATCTGACCTTGAGGGAAGCCCATAACATTAAAAATTCTATCAAGCTGGTCGTGGTGGTAGGGGTTGCTGGTCTTGATGTCTTCCTGTCTACAGTGGAAGATGGGCTCTGATGTCAGTAGTTCAGCAAATATACAGCCTATAGCCCAGATATCTGACGTGGACAAAAATTAATCATTGTCACAAGGGGGAGATGCTCTGAGTCTCTGAGCAATTGTAATTTTCTAAAGTCAATTACATGAACTTAATTCTTAATCAAAGTTAATGCCAATAGTAACTCAGGAAAAATTACCTATTGCTTTTGTGTAATGTCGAGCTGCCAATAAAAGCTCTGGAGCTCTGTACCAAAAAGTCACAACCACAGGGTCAAGGTCAGCTAATGGTTTGAGTGGTGAATTGAATAATCTTGCGAAGCCCATGTCAGCTGGAAATTATGAGAAAAAGTAGGGTCAACCTGGTTAATTTTATAATGTAAATATGAAAACATAAAGCCTAGTCTCCAGACCATATCAAAAATACATAGAAATCTAGTTATCTTAACAGTCAATTCATAGACAGTGCACTGTCCAGACTAATCTTTCTGTAGCTTCTAACCTAGAAAGGTTGGTGTGCCGGCAGTTTGTTCATTTTAATCTAAGGGTTTGAAAACAAATAGCTGTACTGACAAATTTATGTTAACATTGCAACATCATTATAACATTTGTTAAACTTGTATATTTACCATATATAAGTATATAAATCTTTTTTTTTTTTCTACAAAAGGACCCTATTAAGTTCTAAAGTAAAATTCATTCCACAAACCTATTTTGACTCTCCCTCGTTCTGGCCCTTCGCCCATCACAAGAATATTGGCTGGTTTCTGAAGTTCACGAAAGAATTACCTTGTAATCTCAAGTTAAAAAAACTAAATTTTTCCCATTTTGACTAAAAAGAGGAATCCAATTTTACAGAGTTATGAATTTAAAATCAACATTTTTTCAACTTTTGAAAGATATAATTATAAAAGTGACCAAATGGCTTCCAGTTGACTTGTTGATTAATATCTCACAGTACAAAGAACTCACAAGATCTCTATGCAGCACCCAGTTACTGTGTAAATAATGTATTCCCGCCAGAATCTGGTGCAGCAGAGACTTGACCATATTTTTAGGTGTATTGATGGGTTTCTTGTTTGCCTTGGCAGATCTGTGGTATTTGATGATGTGCTGCAAAGAAAAAAAGAATGTAGCATAAGTTTAAATTTCAAGACACGAAGCTACACAAAATATAAGCAACATTATCAGTTTTGCAGACAGTGTACCTAACAACTTTATCAGTGCCAATAATTAATGTTACACATACCCACAAGTCATGCTCTGAGAAGTCAAATAACAGCCAAACTTTTCTATCTTGATGAGACAAAAACACTTTCAGTAAGCTGATCACATTGGGATGCTTGAGTTCTCGCAGAAGCTGGTAAGTACAGTGTCATAAAATTGCCACTAATATTACAAAAAAACGGTTCAGTCAAAACAATGAGTTATAAGTCCCATGGAATGTGTTAATCAGTGTCTGAATTATGAGATTCATAAAGTGCAAAATTCAAGTTTAGTTTGATAGATTTTATCTTATAAATTTGGTTTGTTTTTACAACCTCATAAAAACTGCTATGAGAATTTTTTTTTTTAACTGAAATTTTTCAATTTTAATTGCTGGCGAGGCAATCGAAACAATTAAAAATTAATAACAATTTTAGGAAAGGTGGCGGTGGATTGCTTTACAGTTAAAAAAAAACAACAACAACATTTTCAACAGGGCACATTTTATTATAATTTTTAGTATAGACTATTACATTTCATAGAATTACATTACACACCTGGTAAAATAATACCAGTAACAAATCACTGATTCCTCTTTAAGGACATTAATGAATTATTCTTGAAAATAAATGGTAGTACTTACAGCAATCTCTCTGCATGCAGACATGGAGATACCAGTGCCTTCAATGAGCTTCAGTGCATAATTTTGCTTCTGATCACTGAGAAAAAAAAAAGCAAAATGATACATCAAATTAAACAACATTCTTAAAACTCATCATTAAACACGGGCAAAAGTTAGCATTGCAAAGCCCTAGATCTTTATAGTTTTTCTTCTCTAAATTTAACTTCAAGATTTTTTCCAATCAATTTAAGTAGCGAAAATATAATTGTAAAAAGTGAAAAATCACCCCAAAAGTTGTACATTCATATTTACAAAGCTAAAAAAAATTCTAAGGCTTTTGACTTTACAAAGGTTTGCCAATCTCAGGATTAGTTAGTAGTGACAACCAGTGGGCAAGTGATAGCACTGATGAAAATAAAAAAAATGATACTAAATATAGAATACTAGGGCTTAAGTGGGAGCAGTTTTTTTACAATGGGTCTGGGTATTTTCAGAAATAGACATACAGAATGTCCAACACTCTGCCTGCCGGCCTTTATAGAATAGGCCTACCGACAGTCCAACACAATAGTCCTACACCAGGGGTGGGCAAACTACGGACCGCTGCATGCGGACCACCAGTGTATATTATGCCACCCATAGGCCTATATATTGCCATCCTATGTCGATGTCCATTTTGTTAGATTAGAATTCTTGCTATATTTTTTAAATTTTTATTTAGAGTATTTGATTCCAGTTTTGGGATATTAAATCGGTTTTCATGATATGGCTCCAGAATCGATTAGTTACTAATCATTAACACCCCTTTTTTGAAACTGCCTTTCCGCTCAGTTGGAAGTAGCTTTTGTTTACATTTTGAAAGGTTTTTTTAAAAATTGTAATTTGAAAGCGAATAGTCGTTGATTTAACCATGAGTGCTGCCAAAAGAAAAAGAAAGATTGAGGACCAACGTTGCATTTTTAATGACGAATGGACTGCAAGTAGGTACTTCTTCATGAACATTGGGAGCAAAGCAGACTGATTGCTGTGCCGTGAATGTGCGGTCGTCTTTAAGGAGTATTATTTAAAAAGACATCACTGTTATGTAGGACATGTTTACATCACACTTTCCCCATGCCGTGAACTCGGTTTGACCCCAAATTAGACTGCGTTCATATTGGGCAAGGTCTATTTCTTTTAATTTTTTTTAACCACAAAACAATCTATCGCCTGTTTGTCTTGACTCGAATGTGGTAAAAAATTGAGGTAATTATAGAAATCTGTAGAAGATTCGAGTCACGACTACAATGTATATTCTGGGGTAATAAGGGGAGAGACTGCACACTTCTATTGCTGCACACAGATACTACTTACCAGCTAAGTGCTATTTCTTATTTTTATTTTTATACCGTCTTTTCTGTTGTTTTGTTCGCTGACGAAGGCTTTCTGCCGACACGTTCGCTGTTTTGTTGCGTTTATTTTTTCAGGTTTATCACTACTCTGTTTTACTCATTTTATAATGTATATTCTGCCCCAGAATCTTCTTAAAAACAGGCTACACCCATATATAAAGCCGGGGAATTGAAAGACGGGAAGAGATTGATTGATAGATATTTTTCACTTCACGAGACAATTGTATTATTCTGTTTGTACTCATATGTGTTTATTTGCATTCATCATTGTACTTTATTAATTAATACATTGTACAAACTGTTTACTGGTACAAGACATCCCATACTCTGTAAGTTGATGATTGTAATTATATTTCTTTTTTGTTTTGTAATTATATTACTACTTAAATAAATCTTTTTAATTGTAATTAGTACTGTTTTGAGTTTTGTAGTTTTGCTATTGTATTTCTCTATGGTATCGTCCTTTGTTAGGCATTGTTTAGAACGAGCCTTGAACTTAAAATAAGAGATTAGTTTCTCACAATAGAAAGCAGTGCGTAACATCACCAAATAAAACATATGGATTTCGGTCACAATTTAACGAACAAAGAGAGAAAATGAACATTCCAGGAGTTGGTTAACAGTTTAAAGAAGCAGGAAACTGCAGCTGAAGCCAGTTTGGTGCTGTCCCATATGATTGTCAAATGTAACAATCCTTTTTCTGACGGCAAGTTCATCAAGGAATGCTTGTCAGATGCAACAAACAATATGTGTCCAGGACAGAAAACAAAATTTGACAGCATTTCTTTATCAAGAAGAACTGTAGTCAGGCATGCTAAACGAAAGTACTGATGTACATGACACAGCACAAGTGTTGGTATTTATATGGGAAATGCACACTAGTTTCGAGCTTACCGAAGAATGACTAAAAGTTAAGTCACTCAAAGACACAACCACTGATCAGGATTTATTCGTTGCTATTAAGAAATGTGTTGAAAGAACTGGGTTGGTGAGGAACAAGATGGCAAGTGAAACAACTGATGGAGCGCATGCTTTGACGGGAAAAAACGTAGGTCTGGTGAAGTTGATGAATAATAAGATTAAAGAAGAACATCCTGACCATTTACTCTTACATCTTCACTGTGTCATCCATCAGGAAAGTCTGTGTAATGCTGCATTGACTATCAAGAAAACCAAATGGCTAAAAAGTACAAAGCTCATGGTTGTGGAATTTGACAGGAGGTTACAAGACTTCAAGGACCTGGAACCACTCTTCAATATTTTGAGTTCTCCATTAAGTTCAGAAGCTGATTCAGCCCTAGATGAGATACAATTGGAGCTGCTTGACCTTCAAGCAGATTATGACTTGAAGGACAAGTTTAAGTCATTTCTTCTGCTGGAGTTTTATGGATCTTTGCCAGAAGCAGCATTAGCACACTTTAAAAACTTTGCTGCTAAACTTTTGTCACTATGTGGGTCCACTTACATCTGTGAGCAAGGTTTTTCTTGTCTGAAAATAAGTCTAAGAACAGGTCGATGGTGACTGACTCCAATTTGAATGCAGTCATGCGAATCACAACCAGTTAACCGGTTCCACAGTTCAAGAACATTATCTAAAACTGTTAATAGTTACATACTTCTCATTAATTATAATTGTACTCTTGGGTCAGATTGTATGTAAATTAAGTTCCTTCTTCTTCCTAATTATTATGATAGGTAGCAATAAACCTTTGTTGAAATAATAATTATGAATAGTAATATCTTATTATCAAGTTAGAAACTGTTTCAGTTCCTATTCTAAAATAAAACGTGCATGTGTAATACAGCTTGAATGTAAAATAAAATGACAAACACACGTACCTGGTTATTATCATTAATTCATATTTTCATACATTGTAAATTGTTATTGAAGCAGAGAAAATATATATGCGGCCCCCCACGATGATAATTAAGTTTTCAATGTGGGCCTCTGCAGAAAATGTTTGCCCACCCCTGTCCTACACCACGCCCATGGTTCTTTATTGATTAATATAATAGTATCCTCCACCTAAATTTATCTGAGTTCACACGTCATGCACAAAAGTCTTTTATTTTTTTCACTCAGTACTATTAATTTAAAACATGTGGGGTTGGGGTGAGGGCGGTTATGAAAAGGAAGCAGGACAGATGAGAAGTAAAATATATATAAGAGATTGCATATGTAGGCAAAACAATTGACTAGGCCCCCATATGTTTATAATTCATCATTCATAACTTGGTTTTCTGTAGCCTTTAGCAGGGACGCGTTTCATCAAACAGTAAAGTGCCTGCCTTGATTGAAATCTTACTTTATTATTTTTATCAGAGTTTCTATAATTTTTATCACTTCCATTAAAGTAACAATAAACCCTTTGGTATACACATTATGGAGAACTCTTGTGTTTGAGTGAATGGAAACACTCCTCCCAGACATGAAAAATGGCAAGGAACAGAGTAAATACTTACGGAGTAAACAGCTTAATCTTAATTAACAGTAATAATTTTTGAATAAGTAGCCTAAGCAATAGTAAGTTTTGATAATTATAGTAGGCAACTCATCAAATTTTAAGCAGTTGTGGCAGACCTATGGCCATGGCACACATGCTGCAGATCTCTAGCTGTCATACCAGCAGCCATGCAATAGCTAACAGGCCACATAGGAGCTGCACATTCTGATAGGATTAGCTGTGCCATCTTATCAGTCTGTGTGTTATAGATCCATGCCCCAAAGGTTATCTAAGGTTTGATAAATCATCAGCATGCTTACAATAGTAAAATTCATATTAATTATTATTAAATGTGCAAAAACACACAAAATGAAAACTTTAACCTTAATGACATCCACATCTAATAGTTTTTGTTGACAACAAAGTTTTCTAACCAATAAATGTGAATAAACCAAGTCTAATGATTAAAACCTTTTTTGGTAATTTACCACTTCAGCGTCGGCCAAGAAAAAATCCAGTTGTTCCGGTTTGAAAGGCTATTTAAACAATTATTCTTATTGTTTCACTTCCATATTTAAAGTTATTTAGCACAATACATTTAAATAATTATTACTACGGTACTAAGTTTCCAATATGACAGGAAGAAAAAGAGGAGAGACTACAATAGTGCCGATGCACGAAGTGTTTGATATTGATCAAATAAGAAACGAAGAAGTATGGTGGCTGTCCACACTACTGCCGAATTTGTCTGACCCTAATTCAGCACTATGATGGTGTGTGCGTCGACGACTCTTAAAAAATAGTATGACATGTGCTGTCTGCAATGGGCTGTGCAGGTTAAACAGATACGGTCAAGGACAGGACGGACTCAGGTGGGCCTGTGCTGCATGTAGTTATAGAAAATCACTACGAGAAGGCTCGTTCTTTACTGGAAGTCACCTCAGCATCCAGCAAATTATTATTTAAGTTTACTGCTGGTGTTGTGATATGCCACAGTTGCAGATGGCACGCGAGGCTGACGTCTCAAATCTCACTATTGTGTCGGACTGGTCCAATTTTATGCGGGAGGAGTGCGAAACCTGGCTGGCTGAAAATTCATCTGAAATTGGGGGATTCGACGAACAAGGAGAATCAATTGTAGTAGAGATTGATGAAACAAAATATTTCCACAGGAAATACCACCGTGGACAGTGGAGAGAGGGTCACTGGGTTTTCGGTGGCGTGGAAAGAGAGAGTGGGCGCTGCTTTCTTATCGAAGTGCCAGACCGACGTGCAACAACATTACAAGAGTGTATTGAAAGATTCATCCTTCCAGGAACACTTATTGTATCCGACGGTTGGGCCGCGTATGCAAATATTAACCAAATAAGAAATGGGATATATGAACACTCCGTTGTGATACATCAACGAAATTTTGTTGATCCAGATAACGCTGATGTCCACACACAGAATGTCGAAAACATGTGGATGCGCGCGAAGCGCAAACTGAAAAGGCAGTTTGGCACACGCCGCGAACTGTTCCCTTCTTATCTACATGAATTCTTGTTCCGCAACCGTTTTCGAGGACATGATATTTTCAAGAACTTCATTCTCGCCTTGGGGGAGCACTATGCATAATGTCATTTTTACACATTACATTGTTTGATTTCTTCTATTTTAATTTTTTTTTAAAATTAAATTGTTTTACATTTTCTATTTTTTTAAATTGTCTTGTGTTATTTGTTCTACTGTATATGTGCTGGAATGAATATGTACAATGTCGTAAAAACAAGATAAGAATAATTGTTTAAATAGCCCTTCAAACCGGAACAGCTGGGTTTTTTCTTGGCCGACGCTCAAGTGGTAAATTACCAAACCTTATCTCAATTAGTAGACTCTAAATTTTAGACTTAAAAACAATGCATCACTATAAATTATAAACCATGGGCCATGGGCTATTGTTGAGAATCATGCCCATGACGTCATTTGTGTGTTTATTATAGTTGCAGTGAATTGGGGTTTAGATTAGGTTGAGGGATCGATTTAGGGTTCAGGTTAGGCATAGGGATCGATTTAGGGTTCAGGTTAGGCATGGGGCATAGGGATCGATTTAGGGATACATTATCAGTATCAGTCACTGACTTAGAGACATAATTAACTGGTTGTGTCAACCAAAATGGCGGCGATTATTCGCAACCAGGATTATAACTCAGAGGTTAATCTAATTAATTAAATATTTTCCTTTTAATACTTAGACTCTAAGTTAGAGTTAGGATTGTCTGACCCGTCCTTCCTTTTCGCCTTGTAGACGTGACCATAAGTGCCTCTTCCAACTTTGCACCCTTCGTATTCAAATTCATCTTCCACACGAGCTCTCTCCTGTGCTGTTTTAATTTTAAATTCATAATCCATTATAACTGTTCAAAAATGTACTTCGACGACCTAACTTTCTTTATGTTCTACTCAAGTTTCTAGCATGTTTACTTTTCTCATTTTCGTGCAAAGCGTAACCGGATATTTTCAATGAGTTATGTCCCTTACAACATTCAAATGCTCTCTAACCTCTTAAGTGGTAAAATAATTTTATACGGAACAAATACTAAAATTAATTCATATTTTAAATACAAAACCAAGAGGTATCAATACTAAAATGATAACAAACAGTTTAAATCGATTTTGTGAGATCTTACGATTTATTTTTTTAGGTATTTCCTTTAACTCAATGACAGGCCAATGAATAATAATAATGTCAACGTGTAAGATGTTCAATAGACCTATTCAACGAAATTATTAAATCATCAACAAAAGTGAGGGAAGAGAAAATGAACAATAATTTTTATATACTATAACAAATTAAAACATAAAAATTCCCCAAATAATGAAAAAAAATTCATTATAGGGACTGTGCACTTATTACATAACACCAAGAGGTTAGGGGTGGGTTAACACCGTTGTAGTTGAACTGTAATGCGATGTTGTTGGTTATTAGCTGTGACATGTCGGTATTTATAAAGGGTGTTAAACGTTTTTTTTTTTTTTTTTTTTTTTTTTTTATATTTTTATTTTTTTTGTTTTTTATATGTTTTTTTGTTTTTTTTTTTTTTTTTTTTTTTTTTTTTTTAAATGATGCGTTTCTGAGATTTTGTGGGGTGGGAGAAACGCATCTCGGGCCATGTAAAATTCGTGGATCCAGATGCCTAGTGAACGCGTTTTGGGCGTGAAAAGGTGATGAGACGGTGAGTGCTGTTTGTGTTCGGCTGGGAATTCACCGAGACACAGCGTACACATCATTATCCTTAGTCAGAAAATGGAAACACCACGGTGCGGCCCTGTGCGGGGACGTTCGGAACTGCTACTGCACGTTTATTCGGACACATTTATTTGTAAAAGAGATAATGGATGTCGAATGCTCTCAAAGGTTCTTATGTTGCTAAAATAACGCCCTATTTAAGTAAATACCACCTACTTTTGTTAAATTTGTTTTAAATGTGATGGAAGTGAGCAATGATGAAGATCAATTATCTTTATTTTTTTTTAAAAATGTATATTATTTTTGAAAAAAAAAAATCTTTAAAAATTAACGAAATTAGCCAAGATTTTTAAAAAACAAAAATGTATCTTTTGGTTACAACATTATAGTAACAACTATTTTCGGACTTGTTGCTTGAAATTTGTTTGTTTCGGCTTGTTCTGTGACTTTATTCGGTTTTATCTGTGCGGGTGGGTGGAGGGTGTTTGCTATAAACGTTAAAAGTATTAGGGGCGGTGGTGGTCAATGGACATTTTATCTAACGTTATAAGGGATTGGGGGTGGGTCAAAATATCATATTTTTGTGTTATACAACATGAGCAAGGTCCCCAAAAAGTGCTACGTTTTCAAAGGAAAATTTGGCCACAATTTAAAATTAATTCGAATAAAAGTGATAGTGAGACTGATACTACCAAGTGATAGATCATACACTTTTAAATTATTTCATAAACTAGGAAAGAATATTTAAAAAAAAAAAAAAATTCGTGACCCGGCTAATTATATATATCTTTAAAAAAAATTAATAAGTTTAATATTACTGTATCGGAATTCATGATGCATTACAGTTTGGACAGAAACCCCGTAACAATGACACAAAAAATAATGATGTTTAATGGCGCTGTGTACATGTTATGGAAATTTGTATGCAATCTTTCTTGATTCAACATATTGGTAAAGTTGAATCCGTTCTATGGGGGGTCGGGAGTCCATTCTTTCAAGGTCATGGAATCATTTGTGAGCGACTGTGAACTCCTGTAATAACTCAAGGACGTGCGTTGATTGAGTGTTTAAAAGAGATGAAGCGATGCATAACAAATAGGTTAAGTGAGCTGTTAAACGGCATGCAGTGAAAGTCCATGCCCTAAGGTTGAAATCTGTGTGAATGTTTTAGAATGAGCGAGTATGTGTACTGTGAGTTGTCGAGAGATCAAGGAGAACGATTTAAAGCAGGGGTCTCAAAATCAAACGATCCGGGGGGCCGCAGGAGGTTAAGTCTGAGTGAGACTGGGCCGAATCAAGCATTTCACACACAAAAAAAAAAAAGCGATGAAAAATCTAATAAAGAACAGCTGTTATAATCTGCTCAACCTTTATTAATAACAAATAAAAACATTAAGGGTTCTTTGGAACTAGGCTCCTACTCCTTGTTGCCAGAGGCCTGGCAGCGTTTCTTCTTATACAGCTGAGCAACATTTAGCTTGAGTGAGGAAGTAACTGAGACCCTCAGTATAGCTTAAAGATGCTCATCAGTAGGTTTGGCCCTGCACTTTGACTTGATCCGCTTGAACAACCTGGAAATCTCAGGGATATTGGAGGGCGATTTTCTCATAAATTGTCCAAGCTTGTCTTGGGATAAAGGATCAGCAAACATTTGAAAAATGTCTCTGTGCTCAGTGTTTTTTATTAAGTCTGAAAACCTGCAATTCTTACTTTGCCTACGTTTGTCTCATAAAATGCTATAAAATAAAAACTTTTAGTCCAATTTAAAAATTTTTTAAAAACATTTTAATTAACGTCCAAACCTATAAAAGCATAATAAAAATCACAATTAGACTAGTCGCTGAGATTCGACTGAAACCGTCGTGGAAGGCCACATTATAGATATGGGAATGGGGTAATGCGCGGGCTGTATTAACACAGAATGTTACTGTCAGATACCGGGCCGCAAATGGCCAACGGGCCGCGAGTTTGAGACCTTTGATTTAAAGGATGTCGAGAGTTTCTCTGGACCTTGTGGTAAATTTGGCTAGAGTGACCGCCCTTTGAGCAGGAGTTAGTCCGCTGAGGAAACGATTTATTCATGTATTGTCAAGCCTTGCCTAATACTTGTCAGCTAGATGTATAGTGTAAATAAAACTTTTCAGTATTGTTAACTTGGCGTTGGCGTTTGTACTTTGTATCCGTCAACACAGCCACACTACATCTGTCACTCAAGCACTCTAGTACCAGCCAGGCATCCACTAGCGTGGCATGCTGCGATCCCTAACACCCTAGACAACACAACCAAATATAAGACATTAGCCTACAATATTTGACATTAGGTTAAATGAATATTTAACACATTCCATTGAGAACAAATCAACTTAATTTTTATATGTGTATGTTTGTGGATGGGAGGTGGGAGTAGACTCAGTGGGATTCCGTGATGATGATGATGATGATTGATTACTTGTATAGTGCTTGTGTCCATGCTATTCTAGCATGCTCACAGCGCTCTGATGTCCTAAAATCTATTTAAAGAAAAAGACTTGAAATGTCTGTTGAATTATTTTTTTATCATTTTTAATTTCCCTCAAAGATTGAGGCAAAACTTTTCCATAATTTAGGCGCTAAAGCTTCAAAAGAGCGCACTCCGTTTGAGTTCTTTCTGTGTCCATCAATTCCGTGAGGAATTCGGCGAGCGTTTTTTTTTCGTCATCTCAAAATGTGCAAAAGGCAATGAAACAGTGGGAAATTTTTGCCTTAATTAAAGCAATTAGTTAAAATGTCACTAGTTTTTTTTTATAACTGGTTCAACTTTCCTGGCAGCGCCCCCACCCCTCCCCTTTTCAGAAATCCGCCGATGACACCCCTTCATTAAGAAATCTATAGATCTCATCACCTGACCAAACACCCCTTCATTAAGAAATTTATATATCTCATCACCTGATCAAACACCCCTTTATTTAGAAATCTATAGATCTCATGACCTGATCAAACACATCGAAGCAATTAACATCCACTAAATTAACCTTTGTATTTCACTTGTTATTCCCGGAGTTGGTATCCAACAATTTATGTGGGCTGAACTACGCCTTCAGTTCGTTAGCCTTGATGCAATCAAGAAGCTCTCGAAATCTTTCTTGACTCCATCATATCAGGATGAGCGTCGCATACATAAGTCATACACAGTTATGGCACAATCGTGGGCCCTGATACCTCCCAGGGGCGCGGCTCTGTACGTGTCGATCCAAATGGAACCCTTTGGTGGTGACGTAGCTATAGCTTCGTTGCAACAAGACATCATCGCTACTAGCCAATATAATGTATTTGGTCGAACAACCCCCCCCCCGCCCCCCGCCCCAAATACAATTGTTATAAGATGACGACATTGTCCAGAGGAGGTTTCACAGTCACCCACCCAAAGACCCGCCACTGTTCGCAACATATAATTTAACCCTCACAGGAGTGTAGGATCAAATATGTCCCGTCAGGTCACACTTAAAAACAAGTTTGGGGTTAAGAATGAAGACATACCTATTATTTGAAGCAGCCACGAACACGCTAATCCAACCCCCCTCCCCCCTCCCCTAAATGAGTATCTCATGGAGTGATGCGTTGGAAACTTAATCGTGTAGCAAAGCAGGGTTCCCAAACCTTTTTCTAATACCCTGCACCCGCTGCTAATTGTTTTACTAAGCTCAAAACCACTACGAAGTGTTTTTTTTTTTTTTATCAATCTCTCACTCTTAACAAAGGTAATAACACATTTAAAATTGGGACAAAAATAAACTTCTAATTTTTTTCATTGAATTAAAAATTAAACTATAGACCTTTTGACAGTAAACGTTTGATTTATTGCCTAAAGTAAGATGTAGATGAAGAAATACAATAAAAGTTATCACTTAAAAACCAATGACTCATATGTTGTTATAATCTCTTATCTTTTCTTCGCCCCCCCCCCCCCCTTAAATGCAACATGGGGGACACAAGAAATTCAATGAGCAGTGGTCCATCCCAACCCAGGAGCCGTCTTCAGAGGGCACTAAATTCGTCATTATTCACGCACAATATGTGACCTGTTTTTTTTTTAAAGAATAGGGTGTCTAAATTCAGGTTTTGCCCCAGGCGCAGCTTTTGCTTGTCACAGTCTTGGGTACGAGCACGCCATGTTTGGGGACCACTGTTACCAAGATAAACTTATCAGTCGTACCACATCTTGACTGATTAACTTAAAATAGAAAGAGAAGCACCCACCCCACATTTTACCCCGCTCATATCTGTAATCATCTGTAACAGGGCAGAACTCAACCTATGATAAGTGTGACTGTGTGGACTCTATTGTAACGTCATGATTAGTGGGATTGTGTGGAATCTATTGCAATCTCATGACTATTGGGATTGTGTGGAATCTATTGTAACGTCATGATTAGTGGGATTGTGTGGACTATTTTGTAACATTATTATTAGTATGATTGTGTGGATCATAGTGTAATGTTATGATTAGTGTGGTTGTGTGGACTCTATTGTAACATCATGATTAGTGTGTTTTTTTGCTTGTGTGGACTGCACTTTACATTTTTATTCGCATCTGTTTCCAAATTTAGGAGAATACTAAACCCCGATACGCCAGTGACACTCAAATGACACGCCGCTGATACGCGACTGACGAGCCACTGATACGCCAATGATGCGGTCCCTGTACAGTCGTGTTGATAAATGAAACTGCCGTATCACATTTTCCTTCCATTATGAACTTTGACCGCATACTGTAATAAAGATTAAAGACGGACACTGTAACAGTGGTTCTCAAAGTTTGTTAAAAAGAAAGAAAAAAACCCATCAAAACCTGAAGAACTTTCCTGTGTATCACCAGGCACTGCAGTGACACTTTCTTCCAGTTAATCAAATGTCAATGCATTTCACGTCATTAAAATAAATAAACAAAAATCTATTAATTTGGTCTTTCTTAAAAGGCTCGGGGATTTTTGTCCTCAAAAATATGTCAATGCATAAATGCAAGAGATCTTAAACACAGACAATACCATGTAAAAGTCATTTTCAAACATACAAATTTAATTATATAGAAAGAAGCCTCTGGTTAAATTTCGAAAATTAACGTCCATGAAAGAAAAAAAATTAGTTAATAATAAAATGGAAATGGTATTTATTTATCTTGAGGTCAAAGATTTAAAGTAAGGCAAGGGTTAAATTAAGAAGATATTTTTGTTAGTGGTCGTGCGCAAATTACATCACGCTCAGGAAGGGGGGGGGGGTCGAGAATTTGTGACAGGGGGGAGGGGGCGTCAAATATTTGTGACGTCACATATTAATTTTTAAAAAAATTATAAATCTAAAATTTTCTAATTTTGAAAAAAACAACTTTATTCAATTAATTTTAAAAACATAAATTTGAGGTCGAAATTGCCTCAGGTATTATAGGTAACGTGAAACTCGGTAATGCACACCTTTTGCGCAAAAACTGATGTGGCCATTTTACATGTATGCGCGAGGTTGACTTCGTTGTTTCGCGTCACAGTTTTGTAATATATCAATCCAATATCGTTATGGGAAAATGTTAAAGAATAAAATAAAATCTTTGATTAGTTATGAAAATTGTATATTTGTTTTGATTTTTTTTAGCTGTGACGTGACAATAAAGGGGTTGGGAGGGGTAAAGAATTTGTGACACTTTGTGACGGGGGAGGGTGGGGGTCTCAAAAAGGTTATTTTTTGCGTGCCGTAATTTGCGAAAGACCCATGTTCAATTATTATAATGTAATTAACTGCAGGACCATTTGAAGTAAAAATTGCGCCCGGGGCTAAGTCTAAAAAAAGAATAATGGCGCCCTCAGCTTTCAAAAATCAATTATTAATGACATAATAATAATAATAATAATAATAATAAAGTTCATTTCAAAAACACGCTTCATCCCCAAAGCCTCGAAGCGCGGTACAAAGTCAACAAAAAACATATCTATAATTTACCACATTTAAAACAAACGCAACACTACAAAAACTAATTACAAGCATACAATCTCAAAGTCTTTCTAGCCATTTCAACCCGGAGCAACACAGCCATTATGCATTAACTGGAAAATAAGGTAGACAATCATCCCAGAAGGTATTTGCGAAATAGATGTGTCTTTAGATCGGTTTTAAAGGACTCCAGTGTCTGGTTGTTTCTGAGATCGACATAGGCCTACACACTCATATAGCTATTTGATCTTTGTTTCCGAGTGCATTCATTCTTTTGACGCCCCCCCCCCCCTGATGTTGGGTGGGTCATTCGCCCTAACGCCCTCCTTTTCGAAAGGTACTGCATCACTATAAACACTATGTGTGGGTCGTGTGCTCTAGAAAACGATCACTGTGGAAACCACCTAAGAGTGATCCAGTGTCGAAAAGATGCATTTATCTGTGAGTTAATCCCTAATGGCTAGGACCGCGGACTATTATTTTCAGTTCACAAATTCTGACTACAAGACTACAATTTGACAAACCAAACAAAATAAATACACACTCTTTTGGATCAATAACAGGACATTTTTGTTTTTATTCATGCAAATTCTGTAATAAAATCCATTATCCACATTAACGTATAGAGTATCTCAGCTTTTGGGGAAATAATCATAAACTTAAAACCTGATCAAATTCGTTTGTTCTTTTCATTGTTAGTTTGAGAGTTGAATAAGACGTTAAACACATGCGTATTTCTTTAATAAATAAACACTGCATTATCATAATAATAAGGCATTTACTATACTCACATATATATTTTAAAATCTTTATAAAAAATCTTAATTAAATAAACATTATATCTCATTTAAAATAATAAACTGGAAAAATTAATTGCAAGAATTTCCAAAAATATTGTGCACTATGTTTTGAAAAGGGTGATAACGTCCCTGCCTCACGTCATTCAACTGAAGAGCTCCTCTGTAATTGTTAATTTTCTGTTGGTTTTGAAGACGCGCCGTACGTCCCGCAGAAGGACCTGCCCCCGTCCAGTATCACGTGCTGTCCAGTGATGAACCCTGCCGCATCCGAGGCTAGAAAAGCTGCCGCCTCGGCGACGTCTTGGGCTGTTCCTGCCCGGCCTTGCAGCGGCTGCACGGCCAGCTCCTTCTGGGACCAAGCCAGGGCCGCGGCCTCGACGTTGGGGTCGTAAGCTCGTCGTATCCTCGTGGGGATGTAAGAAGGGTTCACAGTGTTGACCCTGATCCCTTTAGGACCAAGCTCCACGGCCAGGCAACGAGCCAGGTGGTCAATGGCAGCTTTGGACATGGGGTAGACGATTAACGGCACCCCTGTCAGGGCGCTGAGCATGGAAGAGACGAAAACGATGTTGCCTTTGCTTTTCTCGAGGCTGGGCAGGGCGACCTGAACGAGGAAGAATACGGCCTTGACATTAATGTCCATGACGCTGTCGTAGAGCTCCGGCGTGGCATCACGAATTGTTGCGTGTGGAACAGAGACGCCGGCATTGGGTACAAGAATGTCCAGTTGTCCGAAAGCTGTGACCGTCTCTTCCACAATTCTTTTCCTGATGACCTCGTCCCCGACATCGCCCAGGACGGTTATAAATCTGTCCTTGTGTCCACCACTGACCTCCACTGCCTTGCGCAACACCGACTGCAGTCTGTCGGGGTCACGGCCGCAGAGTGTGACTTTGGCTCCCCTTGAGGCAAAAGTGATGGCGATGGCTTCCCCTATCCCGGAGCTCGAGCCTGTTACTATGGCAACCTTTCCGTCTAGTTGAGTGCTCATTGCTGTTCAAGGTTCGTATACAACCTCCTACGACAGATGTACGCAAAAAGTGTCCGTTTAAATAGCTCAAAAAAAAACCAATTACTATTTCTTAGTACAAAGCATATTCTGTTCACCACATGAAATCACGACCATCCAGTGCCGTTAGCCTACCCAAATCCGTGCTATGAATTTATGACCTGTTTGCCAGACGTGGTGAAGTCAGATAACTGACCCACTTTTGAAACGTTTTCTATTTATATGCTATCTAAGAGTGCCTAATAATAGCAGACGGAAAACCAACAATGAAATGTAGGCAATCTAGCGGTTGAATGTAGGCCTACCACGTATAAGATATCGTTCTGAAACTAGACCTAGAGGATACAAACATTTGAATCAGGCTTTCGGACTTAAAGTAGTGGTGCAAATTAAGTTATCTGGCATTTATTTAATATGATGCAATAATGTATTTCTTATTAATAAAAACAGTTGATTAGTTTTAATTCTACTTTCTTGGCCTCCAATAATCCAGGCGCTAGCCATGGGCGCCCGCGG